AAATTTCTTTACTGAAAGAGTAGTTAAACATTGGAAGAGGCTGCCCAGGGAAGTGGTTGAGTCACCATCCCTGGAGGTATTTAAAAGACATGTAGGTGAGGTGCTGAGGGACATGGTTTAGTGGGCATGGGGGTGTTGGGTCAACGGTTGGACTCCATGATCTTAGAGGTCTCTTCCAACCTTAATGGTTCTATGATTCTAAGCCAAGTAAGCAAGAGGAACTCGGCTGTGTGGAGGTGCAACCAAAGAAAGAAGGAAAGAACAACAGATGAGAAGAGCTTCCTGCCGCTTCCGCACGCTGCTGAGGGGCAGCAGCAGCTGGGAACAAGGATTTATTTAGCCTCCCAGCCACAGCCCTGGAAAGGAACCCTTCCAAACCCAAGCTCTAATCACTCCAGAGACAGCAGGCTGAGAGAAGGCAGCAGCTATCTGAGGGTTGGGAAGGACAGGCTTTGCTATGCCCAAGAGGAGCTGGCTGAGGACCAAGTCCAGCTGGTACCAAGTCACCTACTAACAATGAAGCCAAAGAAAAAAGGTGGGGAAAATCCTTCAGCTTGCTGTTAACTTTTTTGCCCAGGTTCTTTAATGTTCATGAGAAATTCTGGAAGACTTGAGCAATCTGGTTCCTGCTTCCAAAAACCCTATCTCACTTTCTTACTCATGTAAGAGCTGGGATTTGCTTGCGACAGACAGTTTTTGTACAAGCCTCCAAGGCAGGGAATTGTTTGGACACGTGGGACAAGCTCTCAAGTTTTTACAGCTTGTGGCCTCCAAGAACCAGCTCCCTGCTACACCGTGACCAACAAAAAGCAAACTCTGGTTTGCTGCTAACTTCCAAGTTTACCGCTTGGGAACTCTTACTCATCAAATATTCCTTCTTGACATGAAGCCAGGAGAAACGCACTTCTAGCAGAATTTCTGACCACAATTTCAGACCACACAACTTCCACTCCACAGCTACTTCCCCTTTGCCTTTTCTTGTAAGCAAAGCTCCAGCACCAGAGCGGAGCAGTACTCAAGCCACAGTCTGTGCAAACAGCTGGGACAAGACGACACTGGTCTGAACGTGTGTTTTTCAGGCCTCAACACTGTCATTGAGGGAAACCTCCTTTCACGATCAAAGGATGCCAACATCAACCCTAAGCAACAGCTCAGAGCTCTGGCTATGAGCCCAAACTCCCCCTTCGGTGGGTAAGAAGAGGCAGGCACTCCGGAGAGGGACTCCCAGGCAGAACACCAAGAAGGCATCCTAAAATAGCCACGCAGGAAGCGCTGGGGCCCTGGGCAAGAAGCACCCATGTTAGACGGGGATTCACGGCCCCAGACTCCCTCCTACATCTCCGGGAACCGGTTATTTCTCTTGAAAGCAGACTAACAGCTCAGCTCTTTTCAGAGTCTTTTTTTTCCATCAAAGCCAAAGGAAAAGCACCTTCTCATGAATTTGTCCTAGTGATGATACCAAGCGCTCGTTAGATGAATTTTCCATTTAAAGAGCTCCCAAATGCATACACCAGGTGGGGAATTAACAGGGAGTCATAGCCTGAGGTTGATGCAGCTTACACCGAAATCACAGCATACTACCTGATAATTTTGATTAGCTCGCTCATGTTGACATGATCTGGCACCAGGAACTTGGTCTTATCCAAAACTGGAAGCTGCTTCTCTCCCTTGTACCTTTCAATGATCACCTAAAAAGAAACACAAAAAGAAAGGAGCAGATGTGAAAGGCAGAAACGGTGTCTGGCGCCCTCATCTCCCCCTTCCATTTTACACCCAGCAAAGTACAAGCATTTATGCTAAACTCCATTTCCCTTCGTTTGTGAATGCACTGTCTCGAAACTGGAAAGGAACAATTATATTTATTTATTCACCTGCCCCTCTTGTTCTGTTTGCAAGAGTCACTGCACGAAGGGGTAACAAACAGGGATTTAACAGCAAACATCCACAGCTTCCGTGCAGTTTTAGAACAGTTCACTTGCTGGAATCCTTTAATCTAGCACCGAACTACCCAGCAACAAGGAAACCCAAGAAAAGATAAAGCACATTTCCCTCTAACACATTACAGTGGCTGACTAGGGGCTTGGGCTGCTACGGCAATCTGCAAACTGAACCAGTTTTCACTAGAATTTCTCCAGTTTCAGACCGTGTCGTTCTAAGAACTACACCTCCAGATTACTACACCATTCCATTCACCTTCCGCGATTACTCTGATGCATGAAAGCAAGCTACTTTTGAAGGGTATAGAGCCTCAAAGGAGAGAATTTCCTCCTCCTTAATCTCAAGACAGCATGCTCAGGAACCAGTAATTCTGTCAAGATTGTTATGTAGTAACTACTTAATTCACGAGGAAATTGCAGATTTGCCAATTTAAGTAGCACCCTGCCCAGCAACTGTATATAGTTCCTGCTTTTAAGAAATGATCTCAGAATTCGTGCGCTCCCGCTTCCACGGCCGTGTGGGTTTTGTTGTTTTTATATCAACGGTAGCTACGTGACACCATTCACTTGGATCATTTCCATGCTCACGGGGTCTGGCTGTGTTGATATTCGAAAGTTGTACAGGTAAAGAGATATTGAGCCAATTTAATTGTATCAGAGAAAGACTTCCTTACACCAGTTTAAATAAATGCTGGCTCATTCTGGAAAAAAACCAACACTATTTTTAAAGAGGTAGACCATAACCAATAGATAATATTTCCAACAGCAAAATGAGGGATGTTGACAGCACAGGAGGGATTTACCATCTAGCGTGACATTGCCGTCTTATCTCACCCAGAACTGCTAATGATAATAATGAGGCAGTGACTCAAGCTAGGACATGGACAGGCAACCACAGCAAGCCTCCAGGGATCCCAGCAGGCCTCTGCCATAGTTGTGAGTTTGCATCACTGCATCTTCAGCAAGTTGCTTAGGTACATCTGCATTTTTGCTGGTAATATGTCCATGGCTGACTTGAAATGAGAGCTTTGCTATAAATCGATGGCTTTCAATCTGTGGTCACAGAGCTTGGGGACTACAGCGAAGCGATCTGTGAAAGGTGGGTGAAAAAGCAACCTTCTGTCAGGAAACAGATTTGTTAGGAAAGAGCCTTTTGGGAAAACCGCACGTTCCAGAAAAGTCAGAAAATCTCTGCTGTAAAATATTACTTGTTCCCATGCCCAACAGCATAGCACAACAGCAGCAGCAGCTGCTAAAGGGAAACTGAAAACCTTTCGGTTTCTATCTGACCACGGAGGCAACGACTGCTTCTGTTAATGAACTTGCACTGGAACTGCAGACACTTTGCAAGCAGTTTGTTCGCAGAAGAACTTCCACTCACAGGGATCACCAGCTCTCATCACCGAGAACCAAAGGCTGAGGCGTCCGATTAAGTTCTCTCTTCTGTCCCCCAAGATCTCCTGAGACCTCCCCCCGTCCCACCAAATGGCCATAAGGACGGTTGCATTTATTGCTTGCTGCGGTGACAGCCGTCACGCAGAAGCCCACCAGCTGTGAAGAACTCATCAGCAACAGATCACGATCCATGCCTTTTGCTTCCCAGGATGCTTTGCTTTGCATTTGTAACCTTGAGGATGCCATAAATAAAAGAAAATAAAACCTCGGGCAGCATTTGGAGCTGACCAGCTAAAGAAGAGTGACGAGGTGAGGGCTGACCCCCTCTTTGAGGTGGCCCGACACTAGGTGGAGGGGTTTGTCAGCCAAGCAGCATTTCTGGAGGCCTCAGGCAAAAGGCCCGTTTCCCGGAAGGCAAGCGTTTGTGTCTTTCTCAGCACAGACTGGTGATGAAAGCCCTATCTGTCTCTACGTTACTGTGTATTCTTCTTGGTTAGCCTTTGCAGACTCTTCTTTTGGAGAAGAAAAACACTGAGAAGAGCTGAACACTCAGGAGAATCTCAGAGCTCAGCTGGGGTGTGGTTTTCTTTGAAGTTACAACACGCAACTTCAGTACACAGGAAACCCCATTTCCGCCAGTCCCCGGCTACCACCTTGCTCTACCACGCCGACTGCCTGTTACTAGTTTGAGAATGCTTCTGAAATCCAGGCTTAATAACCCTGAACAGCCAAATTTTAATTTGGTCTCATCAGGACAGCTCTTTTACAGGTTTCTAACTACTAAAAACATGAACATGAGACTGGAAATTGAAGTGAAAAATGAAAAGAACCAGACTCACTGGTATTTTAGTTGGATGCTGATCTCGAATCAGTCGTACATCTTCCACTCTTTGCTCTGCAAGAGATTAAAAAAAAGTCTGTTCAAACATCCACACTGAATGCTGTTATTACTTTATTTCTCCACCACTGAAGAGAGGGACTGCATGTTAGTAAAAGCCACAAAAGCAAGTACAGGCAAAGCAGTTTTCAAATGGGACAGCACTGTCACAAGTTAAACCTCTCCTTTGACAGACGATACTTTGCTCTTTAACCCAAGGGGACAAGTACTGCACGCACGCTGCCTGGGACTCCTCGAAAGTGTTAAAGGAGATGGACCCCCCCGCCCCCCGCTCATTTTTCTGCCCACTAAAGCAGACATTTAATCTCATAAATTTATGGCATCAAATTACACCACCCAAGTTAACGACTAAATATCCTGTACTATTTCTGCAAGATCCCAGAAGAGGAAGTTGTCAACAATTACTCGAGACCTAAGACTAGCTGAAGCCTGGCAGCATCGGCTTACGCCGTGCGTTCTAGTATGACCGAATTACAGTTTTCTATTTTGATTATGCTGCAGCCATTGTTGCAGAAGCTGTTGGTAGGTTCTTGTATACCTAGACATTTCACTGCTCTCCGTGCCAGTTTTCAGGATAAAGTTCACCTCTCCTCAGACATAAATATTAATAGCACAGATATTATAAACCAGGCTAAAGTACATGTCCGAGCCAAAGTAAACAGACGCAGTTCTTTTAGAGGCAGTTGCATCTGCTTATACCCTGCCTACTTTCAGATTCAGTGAACTCAATTTTAACCTCTCCAGTTCTTTTCAGCGGGCCAGGGCTTTCCAGGCCATTTCCATCTTCCAAACACCTCTGAGAGAGAAGATTCAGTGTTGCATCACAGCTTTAACAGACACCAACCTAGGGAGAGGTGCTGCTCATGGGAGAGGAAGAGCTCAGCTCAGCACCCGTCAGCCCAACTCACTGCTGGTATGCTAATGCACAGGACACACTACCTGTCCCGTCACTCAGCAATAACATCACTCAGCTCTCCATTAGTCCATATTAAGTTTGTGTGCATGAAATACACCCGTGCGCCTTTTTACAAGCCCAATGAGGAAACGCAACTCACGTGAATCACCGTTTTCAGCTGGAGGTGAATCAAGCAGAACTAAGGCAAGGAGTATGCAAAGCCTTCACCTGACTGCAAGACCGAGAACCTGAAAGCCACCCTGCTTCACATCCCACAGCCCAAGCCACGCTCTTACAGACCAGCATTAACACTTCAAGGGCAGAGATTACTAGCTAACTAAAATACTTTTTAAGATTAACCAGAAACACAAGAGATACGGGGAGTGAATGAGACCAACCGTCAACCTAGCAAGCACAGAGAAGTTTGACTAACTTTTCAGCTGAAACAGGTTTGTTCACGGCAGCGTTATTCAGCAGAACTCCCTGGAGTAGAAGGAACATAAACGGGACAAATCATTGAGATCATTGTATATGGCGTGTTCAAAATCAGGCTTCAGTCAGCCACAGATAAACACTGTTCTCTGACGACATTAGTTGCAGTGGCAACTGCTTGGCTGCCATCCTAGCTGAACTTAATACCTGCAACAGAGGCTGCCGACAGGCAATGGGGTCAACAACAGTTTTGGAAGACTCGAAGAAAAGAGGCAGCTTAAACACAGACTCTGCTAGATCAAAATTCTGTCCGCTTCAATGCGGAGAACAGCTTATGTTTAACAGAACAGCAAAGGCAAGGGTGGGCACACCAGAAAGCTCTCTTAAGCAGCTTGACTTTAACCCAAAAGCAGAAGGAAAAGAAAATCTAGATCAATCACTTCCACCAATTCCATTTTACACACAGGATTCTATAGTTCACACAGAAATAGGTTATGCTGCCAGTTCTTGTTACCCTCGGAGCGTTTCAGCCTACCTCACCGACACACATGAAGAGATACTGAGCTCTTTGATTGCTTTGGTCCCATCCTAAGCACAGAAAGAAGGGTTGGCACCGCTCTATCAAGGCTGTTCCTTCTAGAAAGAGACTAATCTCATTTCCCCAGCCATCATTACACAGCTCTTTTCTATGCCTTGCTCGTTTTCAATAACTAAAAGGAGACAGGAGGCGTACATCCCAGTCCACTCGCAGCTCCCCGGGTAGAGGATTCCTCGCACCGTGCCAAGTACCAAACTGCAAGTGGAGCTTAATTCTCCTGTCAATAGCACAGACGGAGCCGGACACTGAGCAGACACGTCGGGAGGGAAGGGCAGGCCCAGCTCCTGGCACACAACGCAAAGTGATGTTTCCAGGCTCCTGGGAATTTTGCAGTCGATAACGGATGATGTAGAGAGGCCACCTCCCCACCCCAAGCCCCTCTCCCAACGCAGTGCAGAGCTCACCTCGGCGCAGCGCTGCCGCCCACCCCCACACCTCGCTCACCCCACCCCACCCCACCCCGGGCACCCAAAAAACACCCC